CGCGGGGCTGTGGGCCGCGCTGTACGACTACGAGGCGCGCGGCGAAGACGAGCTGAGCCTGCGGCGCGGCCAGCTGGTGGAGGTGCTGTCGCAGGACGCCGCGGTGTCGGGCGACGAGGGCTGGTGGGCCGGCCAGGTGCGGCGGCGCCTGGGCATCTTCCCCGCCAGCTACGTGGCGCCGTGCGGCCCCGCGGCCCCGGCCGCGCCCCAAGTCCCTCCGCCGCGGCCCGGCTCGCCCGTACACGTCGACTTCGAGCGGCTGGAACTCAAGGAGCTGATCGGCGCGGGCGGCTTCGGGCAGGTGTTCCGCGCCACTTGGCAGGGCCAGGAGGTGGCGGTGAAGGCGGCGCGCCGCGATCTCGAGCAGGACGCGGCGGCGGCAGCCGAGAGTGTGCGGCGCGAGGCGCGGCTCTTCGCCATGCTGCGGCACCCCAACATCATCGAGCTGCGCGGCGTGTGCCTGCGGCAGCCGCACCTCTGCCTGGTGCTGGAGTTTGCGCGCGGTGGGGCGCTCAACCGCGCGCTGGCCGCCACCGACCCACGCGCACCTGGCCCGCGCCGCGCGCGCCGCATCCCTCCGCACGTGCTGGTCAACTGGGCAGTGCAGATCGCGCGTGGCATGCTCTACCTGCACGAGGAGGCGGTGGTGCCCATCCTACACCGGGACCTCAAGTCCAGCAACAGTAAGTGAGCAGCTGAGCCGGCCGTTGGGGGGGGGGTAGCGGGGGAGCTCAGGAGCGGAGGGGTCATAGTCAGCCATAGGGCGCCATCCGCATCTCCTGCTCAGCCTTCCCGAGGCACACAGCGGCCCCGCTGGGCTTGGGTACTTGCTTTGGAGCACGTGACTCACTCACCTTGATTTGTTGTCGTTGGGTGCCCTTTAAAAAGATGCACACCAGGTCGGCTTGTAGATCAAACATTCGTAAATAAGTAGACTTTCGGGAAACTCAAGGAGTGAGCCTGGCCTTTAGGTACCTTAAGGGGAGTGGCAACAAGAAATTATGTATTCATCACTGTAACAGTGCAGGGGCTTTCCTCTAGTCTTCTGGGTAGGATTTTGCAAACTGCGGCCTTCCTAGGATTATGAGGCACCTCCGGCTATTCCTCTGGCCGCTGGCCTTTGCCAGCATAAAGTGCTCCTTTACTTCCACTTATAAATTCTGTGTTGAGTTGCTGTTCTCCCAGCTTGTGTGTGTGTGCGCGTGCGCACGCGTGTGTGCGCATGTGTGCGCGCAGGGTAGCTCTTGAACCTAAGACCTTGTGCTAAGGAGGCACTATATCATATTCTTTCCTTTGATTATGGCTTATGTCCTTTAACTTTTCCAAAGACTTTTCATTTTAGTGTCTTTCTATATGACATGTGAGTTTATTGATTCTTTTTTCCAGGCAGGATTCACTCCCTTGTGTCTATAAACTCTGAGATTAAGAACAAGCCATTGTCCTTGCACAAGTCCTTGAAATCCCAAAGACCTGTCCCGTGTCATGTGCTTTATTTATAAATCAGGGTGGGTTTTCCACATGTCAGCAAAAAAACTCCTGTCTGACTCAGATACAAATTCTATCAAATTTTGCTTTATTAATGAATTAGTAGAATTACTGTTTGAAGCATTTTTCTTTGCTATTGAAGATCACTTTATATTCCTAGAAGGAAGTGAAATCTCTTGGGTTAAAGGATGCAGCCAGAACTGGCATTGGCCTACCACAGCTACATGTCTGCAAGGCTTGTAAAACCTGCTGAGACAGGATCTACCTGAAAGGAAATAGTGTCTTCTAAACACAGAAAGAAGAGCAATAAGAAGAAATGATAGATTTGGCTTATGTTTGTGTAGAGGATTTTTTTCCCTATCAGAAGCCTTCAATGCTGAAATTTACTTGAAAACTACTAACGTAGCAGTTGCCTTTGATATAAGTAATCTGAATGTTTTATCCCTGTATGAGGTTGAATACCTCTAGGTTTCATTTAATAACTCTCTGTCCTCCCAAGTCTGGCATGGTTTAGATCTTAGCTGCCTCAGCGACAGAGCATAGTGTAACACAGTGTAGCAGGACATGATGGTGGTAGCATGTCTTACCCTCTGACATGGGATGTTCCCAAAGGACTCTGGAATTCACTTGCTTTTAGACCGAGTAGAGACACACTGTGGTTTTCAATGTACTGATTTTTGTAAATAATTTCAAAGTTGATAGTCTATACTATCAGTGTGTACTTATTTCCTAAGTATGCTTTTGTTGAAAAAAATAACCTGGAACAAGTGACTTGTCCATGAGACCTGTTAGGCCCTGTTCCCAGCTGGGAGTATTCTGCAGAGCTGAAGAGTCCAAGGACAGCTGCAGTATCATTTTACGCCTCTTGGCATGGTAGCAGCTCTGTGATAACCTGGAAAGTGACTTTCGCAAATGTGTTTGGTGGCAAGCTGAGCACAGCAGATCGCCCGCATGAGGAAAGATCTGCCTTGGACCTCAGACCTAAAAGCTGGGTGACCCGAGGCTGAGGCTGCTGCACTGTGCCTAGTCAGCTTGTTTGGTGCAGTAACGCTTGCTGTACCTATTCTTGAGGAATGGCATGTTTGCTAGTGTTTGGAAGCCATAGGAGAGGATGCTGAGACATGTTCTAGCTTTGCAAAAAGTAAACTTTTTTATATAAAATGTACAACTTAAGAAAAACTCCTAGGACCAGGGAGATGGCTCAGTAGAATAAGTGCTTGAAGGGCCTGAGTTCAATCCCCGGTTCTGAAAAAAAAAAGAAAAAAAATAAATAAAAACTCCTAATACTCTTATATAGTAAAATAAATAATGTGATCCTGGAATAATAACTATGGTTAAATGGTTTTCATTGACACCTGAAAAACTTACATAAGCTACTGGACATGAAATAAAAGATGATTTATATTTTGAAGAAGATTACAGTTTACTGTGTAGTTTTATTTTTTAATTTATTGGTACAATTTAGACATATCACATTCATCATAGGGAATTTGTCCCTAAATATGATATATCCTGTTTTGCTACATAGTTTTGAAAGGCTCTACCCTCAGAATACATTACCAAACCTACTGGAGCATTTAAATTCTGTAATTGCCAGGCAAGTTTCCCTTTGCTTTAAATTCTTGCACTCTTGTCTAGTCACTAGCTTAGGGAAACATTTGTTGCAGAATGACCATTGTAACAGTTCCTTAGTTAATGTAAAATGAAAACTTTGAATAGGTCCTACGATGGGTAAATCATAGTGCCTAGCAAGTAGCCCTGCCCTGGCCAGCTGACTGTGTTGCCCACTGAATAAATGCAGACGCTTTGAATTTCCTTATGATCCCTGAAGCTGTAACTCCTTGTTCAGATTTTTGAGTGTAGCAGGCACTCTGTTCCAGCATGTTTTGTTTGACTTTATTCCTTATTTGCTTACGGTGGTAGTGAGTTAATGACAATGTAAATAAGGTTTTAAAAATCAATATTGAGTTTTGTTTTCACTCATACTCTACAAAACCCACAGAAGACTTCTGAAACCAGGTGAGTGGAAATTATTGTTTTATCTCGATTCCTTTTTTTTTAAATCTATTTTCTTATCTTTCCTTCAATCCCTTCTTCTCTTCTTACTTACAAAGCTTTATTTCCATTTTTCCTTCTTGTTTTTTTCCTTTTCCCTTCCTTCATTTCTCCCTCCCCATCTCAAGTTCCGCTTCCCAATTGAACATTTTGTTCCTATTTCATAATATCTAGTAGACATTCTGGTTCCTATTTACATTTTCAGTTTTTCACACCAGAGAAACAATGCAATATTTCCGTATGTGTGTTTGGTTTATGGAAATTATTATCCTTACATTTATTTATTTATTTAGTGGTACTGGGGATCGAACTCGGGACCTTGAGCTTTTGAGGCAGGTACTTATATGGCTGAGCTATCTCCCTGGTGGAAATTATTGTTAAAAACTAATGTTTAAATTTGTCAAGAGAGGGGCTGGGGAGATGGCTCAGTAGAATAAGCGCTGCCCTGGCAAGCACAAGTACCTGAGTTCAATACCCGGCTCTGCCAAAAAATAAATAAATAAATAAAATAAATAATTAAATAAATTTGTCAAAATAATTTATTATCCTTAGCGCCCGCTGCAACTCTCTGGGCCAAGCTCAGGCACACCATGTGAATGAGACCCCACGCCACACTCTCAGGACAGCTCCACCCCTCCAGAACCCCCCAAACCCGCAGAGTAAGGGAGAACTTCTGCCACACTCAGGATCCTCCAGACCCAGCCCAAGCCCAGGCCTGGCAAGTGTGTGGGACAGCGTCTACACTCCCCTGTACCCCCTGGACCCTTCCAGACTCATATCAGGCCTGGCATACAGGCCTGGGGTGAAACTCTGCAGCTGAAGTCCTTGTAGAGAGACCAGGGGCCAGAACCACCCAACTAATCCAAGAGCAGAACGTCTTGCCAAGGGGAACAACAGGTTCACTCCCAAGGGCGGCAGCAAGAATGAACTGAGCACAACAGCTCGATCCAAGCCAGGCACAACTGGATGAACTCAAACTTAATAGATCTGGACCTGAATTTCAGTAGGTACTAAGGTTATAACTGCACCAAAGCTCTACACCAAAGGTCAGAGGACAGTGCTATACAAAACAACAAAGAAAAGTACCAAAATGCAATCTCAGGCCCCAAGCCCAACCAGAACAAGTGCAGAGGACACTAGCACAGAAAAAATTGAGAATCATGTAGCTGAAATGTCTCAGTCAATAGCATCTGAAGTAAAGAAACAACTGCAGAAAGCTATAGAGGAACTCAGATCAGAAATAACCTCTGAAAGGAAAAAAGAAATCTCTTAATTAATAGCATCTGATGTAAAGAAACAAATGCAGAAACATATAGAGGAAATCAGATAAATAATCTCTGTAGTAAAAGAATTAATAACTGCTTCTCAAGAAGCACTGATTAAAAAAGTAGAGGGCATTAGAAAAACGATGGAATTCTTGAATGAGCAATACAGGAAAGAAATAGATCGCATGAAGCAGAGTCAAAGAGATATAGAGGAACTTAAAATTTCAATCACAAGCTTGCAAAACCATCTGAGTGAAAGTGAAGATAGAGTTTCAGATCTTGAAGATGTTGTCACAGCTAATGAAAAGGTAAGAAAAGATCTCTTAAAAACAACGAGGATGCAGGAAAAAGTAATTCACCACCTGCAAGACGATACAAACTGAATAACATGAGACTAATAGACATCAGTGAGAAAGGAGTCAATACAAATGATATAAAAAGAATATGGAAAGAAGTAATAGCAGAAAACTTCCCAAATATGAGGAAACAATCTGACATTCAGGTAACCAAAGCATACAGAATGCCAAATAACTTCAACCAAATTAAAAATACACTGAGACATATAATAGTCAAGATCCCAGAAATCCAGCACAAGAACAATATACTGAAAGCCACTAGAGAAAGGAAACAGATCACATTTAGGAAAACCCATCAGAATAATGGCCGACTTCTCTTCACAAACCATGAAGGCAAGAAGAGATTGGAACAGAGTACTCCAAGTCTATGAAAACAAATTCCATCCCAGACAAATGGTTTTGCTACTATGCCCTGCAAAACTCTCGTTCAAGTTTGATGGAGAAAAGAAATAGTTTCATGACAAAGAACAACTAAAGAGTTTCATGATGACAAAGCCAAGCCTACACAGATTACTAAAAGAT